GAGGACGGAGCCAGGCTCTGCTCAGGGATGTCCAATGACAGGACAAGGGGCAATGGGTGCAAGCTGGAGCACAGGAGGTTGCACAAAATCATTAGGAAGAACTTTTTCCCTGTGCGGGTGCCGGAGCCCTGGCCCAGGCTGCCCAGAGAGGGAGAGCTACGAGGATGATGAAGGGACTTGAACCAGAGAGGGTGTGGAGTCTCCCGCTCTGGGGGGTTGGGCTGGATGATCTTCTGAGGCCACTTCCAACCCCCAACATTCTGTGCTGCATGTCCCTGCTCACTGCAGGGGGTTGCACTAAACGACCCTTCCAGCCCAACCCATTCTACGCTGGCACAGTGAAGGGTCACCCCGCGCTCACCATCCCGGCTGCCGCCTCTGCTCGGCCAGCTCGTGCAGACGCCGAAGGGCTTTCTCCTGCTTCCTTTCATCTTTCCGGGACCTCGAAGAGACGTTGCGAGCAAATTCCCTTTGCTTGAGATCCTTCAACCTCTGAGGCAAAAGAAAGCAGGAACGGATTAGGCAAAAACAGTCTGCGGGTGGGTGTCCGAAAGCGTCCCCGTGCCGTAGCACCGCAAATCACACCGTAAAGCCCCCTCCCCGGTCACATTTATTGAGCTAGGATGGAGCAAGAGCATCTTAGCTCAACAAACCCAACGGAGCACAGCGTCATCCTCCCGGGAGCTAAACGAGAAAACAACTGTTGGATCGCTTTTGGCTACAACTTCAAGCCCGCGTGTGTGCATTTCCAATCGCCACGGCTGGCACGTACAAAAAAAAAGCTGATTTCAAAGCAACAAGCAAGTTCTGGAAGGAAAAGGGAGGGGGGAAATAAAAACCCCACAACTGTTGACTTTGCGGCTCTCGCAGGGTGCAAATGTACTCGACAAACGGTGCGTGACAGAAAGTCTTAATAGCATGGGTCAAAGAACAGGAAGGGATTAGCTGGTGCAAGAGTTACTCAGGTATTACACCTCTTACAAAAGCAATGTACAAATTACATTGGAGCAGGTGCCAAAAAATCCCACGCAAGTGGCTCGGGTGAGCAAATACAACATACACCACAACCAGTTACTTGCTTTCCTGACAGGAGTTCCGAGATGGTGTCTCAAGAAACAAAATGCTCTAAAATGCCGCGGGGTCTCTCAGGGTCAAACACTTTAGAGGGCAGAAAGGCTTAAAAAAACCCAACTTACCAGATGAGAAAGTAAACCCAAACCCACGGGATTTCAATCGTGGTATCATCACCGAGGAAATCCAGATATTGGCTTCTAACAGAAATCAAACGCCTTCAGAAAATTTTTGAAAGTCCTCCTCTCAAAGTACTAGGGAGAGGCTGCTGTTTTCCCTTTGAATATGTGTCATAATTCACACCGTTTTTTAAAATTAGTTTTTTTTAGAGTGCTACACATTAGTTTAAGTAGCAGAAAGCAGCAAAGACAGACCTCTACCATCCTAAGGGATCGGTTTGTCTTTTCTGTGCACAATTTGAAAACCTTTCAAAAGGCCCAATTCAGGAAAGCGTCTGTTCCCGGCTTTTAAAAAAAGCTTCATGTTTTTCAGGAGTTTCGTGAAGGGCCTGAAAGAGTGACGATACTCCAAAGCAGCAGTCGCCTCAGAAAAGATCTTTTACAAGACGTTCAAATCATCGGGGAATTCTAAAGATACTTTTTTTTTGGCTGGCTCTGCCTCTTCGGTGAGCACAGTCAGAGCAGTAAAGGCAGAAACAGCGGCTCTGAAAACCAACCCAGAGTTCAAATGAGAGGAATTACGTTGGCCCAATGTAAAGAGAACATTGCTTTATGAAACGGGGGAAGATTTGACAAGACAGAGGATCCTCTTACCTAATCGTATTTACTAAATGCGGTTGAGCGTTACCAGAATCAAGAGGGGAGGACACACAGGAAAAAAAAAAAAAATACAGCTAAAGAGAAACTCACTCTTGTGATCTGGACTCCAAAATTAGAAGGGTTTGCTTTCAATACATCAGCTGAAAACGTCACATCACAAAGAAAACAAACAAAAAAGAAAGTAAAAATATAACAAGAGTGGCAGAGAGAAGAAAAAATAAAAATAAAAAAGCAAGCATTACTAGAGAGGCTCTCGGGGTTCTAGGGAGAAGGAGCGGAGCCAGCGAAGCTGCGGGACGAGCCGAGGGAGGCTGCAGGAGAAGGGGAAGGCACAGCCACAGACACGCACGGACACAGCACCGATCCCACCGGCAACACCAGAGCTACTTCCACCAGGACAAGTAAAGGGCTCAAGGGCTTTGTGGTGTATGTTAAAAGGGGAATAATTTTTTTCCTTCTTATCTCCCAAGAGAGAGGGGAAAAAAAAAGAAAAAACGGACTAAGCAACGCTATCGGCTTGTTCACGCTGCTTTAAAAAGTGTAACTAAAATGCTCCAGGAAGTTGATGTCCCCAACAGCTGACAGAACTATTTAACTGGGGTTTGATGCCAAGTCTTGAGAGCATTCATCCGTTTGGAAAAAAATACGACCCAGCTATTTACACCAGGACCGGACTGGGACCTCTTGCTTTCGAGTGGAAGGTGCGACAGGGCACTCGGACGCCCACCCCTGCCCCAGCCGCGGCCTCGGAACCCAAACGGGCTCCAAGCGATGCAGCTGCCCCCAGGGACGATTAATGAAAACAAAATTCAACGCCCGCTTCCTTAAATGCTGACCTTCGCGCATCTGCTCCCCCAAAGCTCCCGCTCTCCGAAATTAAAAGCAAACGAACTGTCCCGACGTGCTGCAACTGCAGATTTTGCAACACCTGGCAAGACCGAGCTGCACCGCTCCCCGCGCTTTTTGAGGATTTATTCTTGCCCAAACTGGGGAAGAGTTGGTCTGATTTCACAACGCTTACTTTATAAAGGATTTAAAGAGATCTCGAGGCTGAGTTTCCTTCTGGCTCCCGTGCGACAAAAAGAAAGGTCTTGCTGGGGAAGTATCGGAGAGAAAAGCTCCATGATTGTGCCCCACCGTCTCCTTGGGAATGCAAAATGTAAAACACGACATGGAACGTAGCTGAGCATTTTTGCCTGACCTAAAAAGATGCAACTATTGTCAGCAATGAGTTCAAGTTCCACAAAAGAGAGGTGGGTGAAGGGGAACCTCATGAGGTTCAAGAAGGAGAAGTGTAGTCCTGCACCTGGGGAGGAATAACCCCAGC